GTGTATGTATATCGGTTCTTCGTGTTAAAGTTGATATGGATGACTTGTGTATGTATATCGGTTCTTCGTGTTAAAGTTGATATGGATGACTTGTGTATGTATATCGGTTCTTCGTGTTAAAGTTGATATGGATGACTTGTGTATGTATATCGGTTCTTCGTGTTAAAGCTGCTATGAATGACTTGTGTATGTATAGCGGTTCTTCGTGTTAAAGTTGATGTGGATGACTTGTGTATGTATATCGGTTCTTCGTGTTAAAGTTGATATGGATGACTTGTGAATGTATATCGGTTCTCCGTGTTAAAGCTGCTATGAATGACTTGTGTATGTATATCGGTTCTTCGTGTTAAAGAAATAGAATGAACATGAATTCCTGAAATATTGCAGACCACTTCTGTGGTTCCATAATATCTAAGGTGAGACTACTTCATTCAGTTGACTGACTACGCAACCGTCTTCCATCTTACTCTTTTGGCCACGGAAAGAACCACTCAAGGGGAAATATAGCTAAAGATGTGATATCTGATGCCTCAATAGCAAGAGTTAACATACAGTAGAACTGATAAAACAGTAGCTATTAAGAGTAAAATCAGACAAAACAGATTTGAAGTAGACGTTATGCCAAAATAATCGCATTTTTTTAAAAATTCAGTATTGAATTACTTTTTATATGTATGGTTTACGTATATTTCTACACATTTTAACCTATGATGTCATGCAGTGTGCAGTTGTTGAAAAGTACGTCATGAAAATTTGTATGTTTCTAAAGTTCACGCAAAGTTACATAATTGCTACTGTGCTAGCTGTCTTTGAACTTACTGACTGGAGGGAAGGCAGCTGGTCAACAACGTCCACTACCATTATAATAGAATAGTTGGATCTGACTGTCACTCTTAAAACTCACCCACGGCCACGAAGCTTGGAGCGAGTTTTAACAGTAACGGGACGCTAGCCATGAACCCCCCAGGCTTCCAGGTCGGCACATTTACCAATAGGCTGCTCCCGACCCACCTCTTTGTAATAATATATATATGTACATGAAATACAAATATATATATTTAAAGGAGAAGCATAGACATATTTGAAACTATGTTTTGCATAACATTTAAATTCGGAATTGCCTGGAGTTAAATTATTTGTTGTAGTTAGCTTTACGTTTTTTTGTTTACTAAAACAAAACTAAGTCGTTCAATGTAATTAAACATCTTATTTTGTAAATGAACAAACTAAGAAGGGTTATCAACTAATTCCTAAAACATTTTCTCGAAAATACAGCCTAATCATTTCAAGTTATTTACGTCAGGAATGTGTTTTTGTAATGGTTTTAAATGGTCCTTAAGGATATAACAAATCAGGAAATTAAAATGTTTAATTACATTTCTTTACCAAAAAGTTTATCTAATCGTTATACACACTACAACTGTCTCAAAAATGTCCCATAAAATTAGCTTAAGTACGTAAAATGCAAATATATCAGCATTTAACAGAAAAATCCTTACTTTAGCGGTCTCTATCCAAGATTGTCTAAGTTGATTTACTATGAACTATATAAACATGCAGTTTGTCCCATGGTGGTTTAGCGGTAAGTTTACGGATTGACAACGCTAAAATCAGGGGTTCGATTCCCCACAATAGACATCGTGCGGATAATTCATTTTATAGGTTGTACTAAGAAAACAACAAAACTCACTTTTGATGGATTGCCAGTCTATTCCATTGATTCAAAGATTAATTTGTTGATGTAGTCGTAATGGAAAAGTCTGAAAGTGTGGTTTAGACTTAATAACCAATCATGAGAGAGAATAAAGGAAGAAATATACTTATTTTTCCTTTTACACACACACCGTTTATTGAAAGTTACAGAAAAACAAAAAATAAATCGAAATAAAGCTGGTAGAACTGATTAACCCTCTTATTTGACCCAACACTAGTCTCCGTTCACCTTAAATGTTAATTTTCCCCTATAATATTTTGTGTCTTTTCTAGGCTAGGGTTATAAACTTATCAACAGAAAATAGAAACTTTGAGATGTTAATAATTTTTCTATAGAAACGATCTTGTACACAAATGTAATACATTTTGTCGATATGACTCGAAAAATAACCGACGAACCTAAATTCTGACTATCATAAGAAAGTTACTAATTTGAAATATGCTTCGCAGTTGTAGATTGTATGTTATTGTTAAGCAGAAACAGTCTGACCTGAACAATTACTCATAACACAGTCTGCGTTATGAAATAATTTTTTGCTCCTGTTGGATGGAAAACATTGTTTGAACATATGTCTTAAAACATCGTGCTATTAGATCACATTAATTATGGAAATTAAAGTTTAAAGAGCTTGGAAAGATGTACTCTTTGCTAGTGTTATAAATCACTTTAGTATAAACCCTATATAATTAAAGCACATTTAATTCATACGAAGATTTTGAGTTGTACTTTATTATAAGAAACCAAAAAGCTCTATTTCACTTTATTCTAAACACGCAGTTTATTATACTCTAAGCGAAATTTACCTGTAAAGTAAGCGAGAAAGTCTTTGGCGTTGTCTGGTAGGAGGATTAAAACAGCTTAAAGATGACGAGATATCATTATATGTTTCCACCAGAGTGCGCTGTTCGATATGATGAATCGCTGCTGTCAGGAATCTAACCGCTTTTCTAATTCTGTGCCGGCTGACAGTCAAAGGGCGGAGACGAATGGCTAGTAGTCCAGCTGGGTAATTGTTAACTGGTCCTTCCATTATATGAACAGACTGCTCTAACACAATCCACATCCATTCGCCGCTCAACAGATTTAACTCCCCAGCGATTTTAAAGATTTTTTCGGTCATTTCAGTATCACAGTGTAACAGAATCACCCGGCTAAAGCTTTTGGCAACACCGCTAAGTCTGTTTAAAATATCTTTTTCACTTAGTTTTGTTTTTAGTCGAACGATTAGCAAAGGGCGCCACGGTGGGTGCTTCATAAGAGTGCCCAGATGACTGACCAAAGAAGAACTTGTTTCGCTGTCGTCCGCAACCATAACCACGTCATACCATTTACTAAAGTTTAACAACTGGAAGACACCCTCAGCTAGGTCCGTAACTACAGGGTCTAGGCTCAAGTACATGGGATTAACGTCCTGAAATAAACAAACAATTAAATATGTAAACAGAGTATAGATTAAGTCACCAAAAATAACATTTAATGATTTTCAAGATATATTTATTTGAAAAAAAAAGGCAACAAAACAAACAAGCTAGCGACTCGAAAGTTTTTGAAGGATTTAAAATGTGTTACGTAGGATTACGTGTTTTTAACTCTACAATATTTCAACAATAGATAACGAGTAGACTTTAGTATAGCAATTACAATAAATAAATGGATAATTAATGATTCTAAAGAAACGATATATAGTTGTTCTTCAGATTGTTTTATTCGGCGCAATTGGTAAATAGGAAACTTATTCCTAATTGAAGCTTTTACGTAGAGAAACAATCAACAATATTTGTTAGTACACCAGAGTATAGTAACAACTCATATTGTGATTGCAATCAACAATATTTGTTAGTACACCAGAGTATAGTAACAACTCATATTGTGATTGCAATCAACAATATTTGTTAGTACACCAGAGTATAGTAACAACTCATATTGTGATTGCAATCAACAATATTTGTTAGTACACCAGAATATAGTAACAACTCATATTGTGATTGCAATCAACAATATTTGTTAGTACACCAGAGTATAGTAACGATTCATATTGTGATTGAATTAAAATATTTTGCGTCTATGAATATTGTTGCAAGTTATAAAAGGTTTTATTTTGGTGTATATATATATATATATATATATACACAGGATTTAGTATTTTCAAGTTATTAAACTCATTAGCAATTTAAACAGAAGTTTCGTAACCTCATGATCATACAACTGTATTATATACGAAAGTTCGAGAATACAAATCAAAAGGTAAATAAGCAAGAAAGGAAAAAAGTACACGAAGAACCAATGAGATTCGTTTTATTAGTCTAGTAAGAAAAGAATGCTCTGGGTACTTGATTTTAAAATCTCACTACAAAATATTGGGAAGAAATTGAAAATTTTATGCACTCCTGAGCTAAGCGGCAAGGGCAAAGACTCATATAGTTCAGCTGTAGTAACCCTGATTTAAAATCACTGACCATAAAGAGAGTAGCCAAACAGCAGAATTCGCCATCACAAGGTTTTTCCGGATTTTTAAACTGAATAAAGTGACTGACTGTCACTTTTGTAACACACACCACAGTTGAAAAGTGCAGAGCTTGCTTAGCGGCATGCCGTCTCGAACCAAGGATCCTTCGACCGCAGCCTAACACGCTAACAACTAAGTTACTCCGGATAATATATATAAACGGTAATTCAAGGTGTTTTCACTTCAAGAAGACTATATATAAGGAAACTCCAATTTTTTATCTTCTTTTTTTACCAAACCGTTCTATATTTGTCTATCTCTTCTTTGTTTGACTCACTTCATTAATCACAAGTTACTCTTCAATATAAAAACTATAAAAACCAGAAAACAACTAAACACTTTTGAAAAGTAACAAACTTAAGTTTGAAATTTATATAAAAACACAACAAATTTTATTCTTAAATTTTATATTTTTTTTAAGATTACAAAAATCCAGGCTATAAATTAAATTAATAAAAAGTGTTTGCTAGATTTTATAGTTGGATAACATCTTATGATGTTGTAATATCGATTAAATATAGAAGAGTTGGGTAAATAACGAATAGTTTGATTAAAAAAGAAAGGATTCCTTTTTTACTTATATTTATATACGTACACATACACCAATGAAAACGAAATGGCTGAAGCTTTGTTAAATTGCAAATTTCATTACGGTGGATAGTGGTCCAACTCAGTTCTGGTTGATAATCTGAACGGCAATGTTGATAAAACATAACTTCTTCAGTTTCTTCTAATTAGCAAAATGTTTTAGATATTATTGCTAAAGAACGGTGATTTTTTAAAGTTTTCTTCATTCATATACATGTCTGGTTGTTCCCAGTCCTCTGTTCCTCAACATTCAATGTTTATTCGCAATATCCGATTAAAAGCCACGCTTTACTGAAGAAATAAGTGTTTGCAAATTGACTCTATATCAAATTATAATGTCTTATCTCATTCCATTGTCCTTTCAAAAGAGATGAAGAATATTACCAACAATAAGAAGTATTTGTAAAGATTTTCGACTCAGTGACAGTTTCTTAGCATTCTATTATAAGACTGGTATGCTATCAGTCAGTTTAGTACATAATATTAGAAGAGGGAAGATGATATACTAACATTAGACTTATTATACGTCAGTAATATCATAAGTTGCATATAATGAAATATTAATCATATACAAGATTAGTATGAAATTGATGCGGCAACAAACGTAGATATGAAGATACCAATAAACTATTTTCTCAAATAATAATATATGCTCTGGCTTGCGTATTAAGTGCATCAGGTGAGAAAGGAGGGATAACCAAGATTAAGCGAAAAGAAGTAATGTTTATATAAATATGACAGGTTACAATAAGCTTTCAGTGTGAATGAACTCGAGAACAAACAATAACAATAAAATAATAATTTTAACGCACAAATAATGATCACACTTGTCATGCGAATTACGATTTCCTGAAAACATCTTACTTAAGTAGTTCAACACATCATAAGTAGCTCTAGAAGCTCGTACCACATTTAATTTTAATTACATGAAGTTCAATTCGGGATACATACACAACCTTTAACTTATCGTCACTAGAAATGAATTCTTCAGTGTGTGGTAATTAACGTTCTTCACACATAGACGTTCCTTTTGCAGACACACAAACACACGTGCACATAAAGGAACAATACAAGAACCATAATATTAAAATTATTGTCCCTTTCAAGTTAATTAAATGTAATTTGTGTGACCGAAAGAACGAGAACAAAGTAAATCGAAAAGGGGGATTGATTCTGAAAGGTGATCGGTTCTAAAAAAAACAAGTTAATAAATCATTTTACAGTAGCTTTTGAACACACACACACACACATTTAAAAGCTTCTTTCTTTGTTGTTTGGTGAATTTCGCACAAGACTATACGAGGGCTATCTGTGCTAGTTGTCCCTAATATAAGTGATAAATTAGAGGGAAGGCAGCTAGTCAACATTGCCTACCGCCATCTCTTGGACTTCAAATGTCAGACCGAATAGTTGGATTTGACCATACTCTTTTCGCGCACCCACGACCCCAAAGTACAAAACGCGAATTTTATTTTGTCGGTAACGAGATGAGAATCATGGGCACTCAGCTCTACACTCAGGCGCGCTGACCACTCAGCTACATGCTCAAAAGAACACCAAATTAATCCTAATAATCTTTATTACCATAGTTGGTTGAAAGAAATTTAGTGACTCTGTGCACTACTTTAGAGTAACGCAATGTTACCTACAACTTGACAAAATGTTATTAATTTACCAGTGGATGTAGATATTTTTTTTTCTGTGATAGTTGATTAAGTAGTCAGGGTTAGTAGTCAGGTTATGGTCATCATCATACACTTTCAGAATCAAATAAGAAAACCCTTTGTTGTTGACAATTTCCTATTACAGAGTAAAGTCTTGCTGCTCACGTTTGTATATCCACGATGTTGTACTATATAAGACTATGGTGGTACATCAATCGTGTGAAAATACTTACTTTTAAACAACTGTCGGGTTATCTAACTTTTTAAATTCCAAAAGTCTGAAATGGCAAACCAAAATTGAGCATTAAGAGAAATTATAATTATATTTAATTAGTATATTATTAAAAGTTTCATAATTAACCATAATTGTATCTTTAAACGATGCAGCAATAAACAAGTTTTTTTCTTCAAACTTTATAATAAAAAGTAGTTTCTTTGTTTGTAGTTAAGCAGAAAGCTACAAAACGGGCTATCTGTGCTCTACCCACTACGGATATCGAAAATCGGTGTCTAGCGTTATAAGTCCGCAGATGTATCGCTGCGCCAATGGGGGACAAAGAAAAAGTAGAACTATCATGTTATATAGTCTTTAGAGATACAAACAATGCAAATATATCTTTCAAGTGAAATTAGTTTATCAAAAACCTTGAGCTGTCACACAAAGGAAGACAACCATCTCTTGTAAGGTGAACCCAATTTTACAGTTTTTCTTTAGTTCAAGGACGAACAAAAAAAAGATAGTGTTCTGTTCAAATCTCAGCTTTTTCTCTGAAATAATACGTTTAAAAGAATAGGTTTCAGAAATGATAAGGTGCTCACTTCCTTATCTTCAATTTTGTTTTTGCTTTTATAACCATATAAATTTACGTAAAAATGTATATGCAGTTTCGGAAACTTTTGAGAAAACATAAAGTCCAAGTCAGTTTTTCTACTTCATAAAGATCAGTTTTACTTGTTTTTATATAGATTTACTTCACACTTTGCGCATGTCATCATTTATTTATGGATAGTAATTTTGCGTGCAACTAAAAATACATAGCTTTGCTTTAAATTATAATTTTTTCGAACAAAATGGCTAATTCAATCGTGTGATGAGGAGAGCGTGTATTCATTATGCAAGGTTTAACCCTCACTAGATAAATAAACTTTTCTAAAATGATGTTATATTATGATATTGATGTTCTGTCATTCTGTTATGATATTCAGTGAGTTGTGTGTCTTCCAATCTGCCAAAATACAAACTAATGAAAAATCTTGACGAAATACTTTAGAATATATTATAATAATCTCCTAACATAATAAGCCAAACATATAAGTTAAAATTAGGTTAAAATAAGTTAAAATTAGAAAAAAATAATTGTCCGTCTGCCTGTCTGTTTGGTTATTATGAGGAACTGGCTGAACGAATGTCGATGAAATTTGTCACGAGAACCTATGTAGACCCACCAAAAATTGAGTTTAACTAGGTAACTAATCAGACAAACGGTTAGAGTATGACAGCCATGTAACGTTATAGATGAGGACTCAACTGAGCAGCGAGATCGGTAGGAAAACACGTTTACTGCCACTTATAGTATGAGTATCTTTGCATCGGATGAATGGTTTGGTTTGTGTGCTACTGCTGAAAATAGTCGAGAGGGCGGCTTACACCCT